AAGACAAGCCCACGATGTAGCGTGCGGGAGTATATGCAGATTAAACATTCAGCTTGCTTTACTGATTATCAAAATCCTCCAATAACCTGTGCTGACCTTGGCTTTAAGGCGCATTGAGGAAAGTTCATACTTCTAGAAAATCGATGACTCTCCCATTATCTTCTTTTTATACATGAATTGCAGTACATGTTATTGCAATAAAATGTGATTCTAGTATATTTTACCCCTCCTCTGGTTATCTGCAGTTTTCCATTAGTTTTTGCCATGGATGGCAACTCCACTAATCCGACTATTCCTTAATGTCCACTTATAGTAGCGACTGTCGATACCAAATCATGCTAGTATACAGTTGCACTTTTTAAGAATTTATTAATCTGCAGTAGCCTTATTTTGTTCGAAATAATTTTTCACTTCCTCAGCAGCATTTTCAGAAGGAAGGTACTTTAAACGAACTTTGGGCCTTCTCTATCGGTAGGTCTCTTACCAAGTTGTTTTTGCATAAAATATATAAATTTACCGTACTGTTATTCTATTCGAAATACAAGCTCGCTTCCTGAGCAGTTTTTTTTTTTTTTTTTTTTTAGAAAAGTTGCTTCAAACGAACTATGGGCCTTCTCTATTGTTGATTCCACCAAGTTATCTCCAAAACTGTTCCGTTGTTCATATTTCCATTCTTTTTCTATTGAACTCTTACTTAAGCTGTTCTTTCTAATGCTGCTAGCTACTAGCTCCTCTTTATGAAATTCCAATTCCTTTCACTTCACTCTTGAAATATTTTCAGAAAAAATACTGATTGTCTGTTAGTGTTTGGGATGTATAACTTACACACTACCATGCTTCACTGTTGGTTTTCATTCTTACTGTGCTAGTCTTGCTGTTTAAAGACTTTTCTTATAGATCAATAATATCTCCCTTCCAGTAACATTTTCAGATATTTTTCTTAGTCTAGTGTAAGTACATTATTTGTGATTGGCGGTTATATCATATCCAGTTCGCTTTCTTTCAAATGACGTTCCCATTCACAACAAAGACATCCCTCCATCAGGGGAATATTCGCTAATAGTTCATATGGTTTTCCGGCACTTTGAAATGACTTTTCTGGTGTTTGTAAATTATTTTCGATCTTCATTAATAATCACCCTTAACATCTAAGAGGCACCGTTTTTCATATATATTCCACAATCGATTAATTCATTCTTGCCATTGGTATTTACTACAATTCTGTTCACTGATGCACATTCCCATCATGGCTGAAGGACTGTAACAAGGTTATTTTTTGTGTGGGGTATATTACAAGGATTAATAAGGACGAGAGTAGCTTGACAAATGTTCAACTTTGCTAGAGATTTGTTTTTCCAGGAGTAGAGGTCCATTTTACTCATTCTTGAAATCCCAGAACAGTAATTTTCCTGCTTATAACGAGATCAATGAATCTTCTGTAGATTCATTGTGGTAATGATGTAACTATTCCCTTGCTTGTATCTGAGGTAATGTAACTGATAAGATCAACCAGGAAGCGATGTGGTTAATTATATGGCTAAGGTTTCATCTTTTTCTTGTCTATATCTTTATACAGCGCCCATTTGCTGAAGAAAGTTTATTAGGAGAGGCACCCTTTCCAGTGCTCAAGTCAGCTGAAAATTTTTATTTTCCACTGGTCCATGTGTCTCCTAACTGTCCTTTTGGTGAATGTTTGGGGCAAGTAGTGAGGCCGCCCGACGTGAAGGCTAACCAGGAAGAAGAATGCCCATGCTGAACCTCTCTTGGCCGAAGTGGAGCCTTTGCAGGTAATGTCATTTAAGCTGAACAGAGTCGTTACTGCAGAATTGAGCTAGATGGTATGACTATTAACGATAGAGCCACTAGAAGTCACTACAGTATTCTCTGTCCAGTGCAGCAGTAGCATGATGATCAGAGAGAAAATTGCTCAAGCTAAGCCTCCCATGCAGTCCATGCAGGCGAAGGCAACAATGCAGATGGAGGTCATGTTGCCTTATCAGCAACTAACTGACCGGTAATGCTGTCAAGAAAGGAGCTACTGGTGTTCACCTTGGTGATTGGTGGAGCTTCCTTTCGAGTGTCCAATTGTTGAAGGCCTAACTGAATGAAAAAAGATATGCACAGACAGTTGCTATCTTGTGTATTTTACTTGAGATATGGGAGATTTGCGTTTGAGGTTGTCAAGAGTTAATTGAGTTAGTTTGGCAATCAGAACCGCATTTACACACATGTATAGGGTAAGAAAAACTGAAGATATTGCAAAGAAGGGTACTGAGCACATAAAGCCTAAATGTCAGGGATTTATAACTACAGATATATATTGTATTCACTTGTTGCTTGAAGGAGGCAGTATGACAGGTATGCTTATAACTTGGTCATTTGATGTTTCTATGATGGCTATTGGTGATTATAGCAATATTTTCACGGTAGCTGGCCATTTTGCTGAGGTAACTGCAGCTGCTCTTGTAGCCAATTATGTTCTCAATGTGGTTGTGCATATTTTAAAGTTTGCTTCGCGATGCATATAGTCTTGCCAGAATAAGCACTTTGATCCTGTTAGTGATGCATGTCTCCATGGTATTCCATGGTATGAATCCACAAAAATTTTCAGTCGGGGACCTTCACGCATTTTTTGCTTTGATTGTATGGGTGGATGGCATTTCTTATGGATCAGAGAAGTGACAGGTAGTCACTAGTCCTTAAAGGTGAGAAGCATGCTGAGTAGTGAAGCAAGTGTTTCTTACTTTATAATTTGGTCTAAAGTGCTCTTTTCACTTGTCATGTGAATATTGTGTACTTTTTGAAGAATTCCTGGGTAGGCACTTAAAGTGGGGAAATGTAGTATACATATTACCAGTACACTGATTTCACGAAGCAACCATATGTCAAGCTGTAAGCCCAAAGGTAACAAGATCTAAAGTAGAATGGGTGTTGTATTCCACTCGAAAAACTATGAAAGCTTTTGAAAGTACAGCCATGTATGCTTCGGAATGCTAATGGTTCTCTTTCACCATCATCAACTTATTTTCCCCTAATTAAGATCTAGATGAACTTTTTCTCATGTCTCTTCTATATAAATCTGAAGAAGAGTGCTCCTTCTGCACAACACCAGCAACGTACTGCAGGCATTTTCTGTTCAAGTAACGAACAAATGCTTTATTATTACTAGTCGTAGTTCTACATTCTGTTTACTTTTCTAATGCTGTTGCTGGTTTACCTCTCCTTAATTTTTATTTTTCATGTGATAACAGCTTGTCTTTAAAAGCTGTTTCTGGACCCTCCCTCTAACCCACTGTTCTATATAAGAACAGTCATTTTCTCTCCTATTAGCTGTCTAGTAAAGGTTGTTCTTTGACAAAATTTCTGCATCAAAAATTTCCACAACATGGGCAGTATTATAGCTCTTTTCACTCCACTCCCACAAATAACTCTTCCAGCTCCTTATGCAATTATATGTTCCTCCGAGTTATTTGGGGCATATGCATTCCGTATACGAAGTTCTCTATTTTGCTCTCTGTTTAACAAGCGGTGCATATTCGCTGTAGCATTTGTCTCTGGGTCACGACGCTATAAACTATCATTATCTTTATTTGCTTTACTTCGCCATAACGCTTGCTGCTAGCTCCATTATCCCCTATCTGCATTCAAGAGGAAGAAAATGGGGTTGGCCATCCCTGGCCAGCCAATAGCTACCTTGTTTAGCCAAATCCGCCGAATCTGGCATGTAGCAGCTGTCCAACAAAATGTGGCTATGTGCTAATCTTCGTACAAACAAGTCTCTCTGCGGCGTAAATGCAACCATTGGTTTCCTTTTATGTAAAGTGAAATTTGTACTGTATTACAATTAAATATTTGGTTGTATCCCCTTTTTATTTGTAAATTAGTTCCAGTAGTTTAGATTTGTCCAAGGTGGGATGTAATCGAGTCCAACTAGGACAGTTCTTGTTAGGGCCTTATTTATATGTCTCAGGCTGAATTTCAGACCCAACAATTCAACTGACTGGATCCAGAACAGAAGGGATCTGCATGAAGTTTAAATGCAATCGTGTACTTCCTGTCAGGAGACACCTTGGTGATGCTCCTTTCTGTTGCCATAGCTAGTTATGTGTTCCTTTATTGATCCGTAACTTTCTACCAATGAGGAATACATCACAGGCTTCTAGCTTTGTGAGAGTGCAATACTTTCATGAAAAATTGGTATTTTGTGAAGGAGCTAACAGAAGATACAAACAATCTTTCGTATAAATAAGGAACTGGGGAAGTTTCTGGAATGTAGAGGCCATTTTACAATAGGGGCTGAAAGCTTCAGTCTTATCTTTGCAGTGTTATCAGGCGACTGAGCTGACGGTGATAGCGGATGATACCTGATGGGATGATCTTAATCATAAAAAATATAATTACAAGAGTATATCTGATGTTGCTACATGAATGCTTGATCAATATGACCAGTATTATTTCTTATATTGCATTGGACCTATTGATTGGACTTTATCTATGAACATTTTTATTTGATTCTCCTGCTGCAGATTCTCATTTTGTTCTAGGCTGCTGTGAGCTATTATGGCGGTTTGCATTCGCCCCCAATGGAATGTGGCCTGTTCTTTCTCTTAAGGTGTTACGTAGCTTCTTAGCGTAAACCTCATATTCATTTTGAAAATTAGGGAGTGTGTACTGTGAAGTAATTAGGGAATTTCCAGGACAACATTCCCTTACCACTCCTCGTAAGACTCCCATTTCTCCGCTGAGTTGTTGATTTCTCATCCCTGAGATATCAACAACTCTAATGTATGATCAAATATTCTAATGATACTATTTCCTTCTCCAATAGGTTGCTCCTTCAATGGAGTTTATAATATTTAACAATGAGAAACCTTCCTCTATTCACTATTATTCCTCTTCTTATTAAACCACACCTGCCAGCCTTCGCGCTCCACCTCACCCCGCGATGGAATCCGACATCTTGACAGCCCCTGCTGCTGCGAACAGCACTTATTTGCCTGCTTTTCTGGCGCTGTGTCACCTTAGTAAGATTCTTCTTTCATTTACATCATTCACTGAACTGGACACTGAATCCTTTTCCATAAGAAACACCACTAATCATCTCACTGATTTGTAAGCTTTCAGTAAGTTTAACATGATTTGCATTTATTTTTTAATTTTCTTGGTATGTGATAATACAATCTCATCTGGCCCTCGCTCGGAAATGTCTGCTTGTCCCTGCTTTAGGTCAGTCGTTATGCTTTCGTGCTAGAGCCTTCATAATGCCACCAATCATACCCCATAACTTGAAATCAATTTGG